TGCCAGTCAGCTGACCAAGCCCCGCTGGGCACATAAGATCTTGATGATCTGCTGATGCAGAACACAATGAAGACATTGGGCTTCATTTGGTTCCGGATGACTTCATTAAGGTCATTTCCAACCTTAGCAGAGCCTCCTCTTCCATCTCCCGTCTGAGTTTTGCAAGGACTGTGTATTTTAATTAAAGACGTTTAATTAGTCTGCCCGTAATCTGTCAAAGCTCTCATGCTGAGGCATAATTAATGTATTGAGCCTCTACCTTGCAGCTTCCATTATATGTATGTTTCCAAAACAAATCTGCACTTGTGTTTGAAAGGACGTTATAATAACAGTTCGGAGCACTTCTTGTTACTAAAATAACAGCACTGTGCATTTATCAAGTGTCATTCCCCTGAGGCTGTCCAAAGGGCATCAGTACGGTGTGTGTGTGCTCAGCACCTTCCAAGACTGAGCTTCAAGCACACAATCAATATTTATAAATTACACTTCAACCTTAAAGCTGCGTGGAACTTTCTGGGGGGAGCGAGGCTCTCTTTGGTTTCCAGTGGAAGCAAAATAAGAGTTGCACTGAAAGCCAAATTTTCCATGCTTCAAATCAACGATCAGCTCTTCTGAGCAGCTCTGCTTCCATCTTGGAACCAAAATAAGTGTTTATATAGTCAGAATCTCTTGGCACGTTGTGTCTGATGCTTGACCAAAAACCTGCTTCTAGCTATAGGTGATGGTTGGCCATTGGAACTGCCTGCTCTTCCTGCAACTGAACCACAGAGATGCACTTTACCACTGCAGAATGAGGGCAATAATTTAGAGGAAAGGGGCACAGGACCTTCATGATAAAAATAGCATGCTGTCCTCCTGAGATACTGGCTCATTACTTGCTGTGGAAAAAAGGCCATTTACTGAGGCATAAACACCATTCACATCCTCCTTTTTCCTGGCTGCTCTCCCACTGAAATACTGATCCAGGGCAGCACGTGTGCAGTGCACAGGGCTGTGGAGACTGCAGCCGGGGGGGGAGAAGACGAAATAGAAAACATATTTCAGCAGGAAGATTTCTAAGTGAGATAAATACTTTGAACACTGAATGGAAGAAGTGGTATTTTGACCAACCCTACTCCTTAAATTCAGACTGAATCAAACAGATCCCTCCGTTCTTTCCCTCTTCAAGCCATTTCGCAGTCCCCTTCATGGCACACGAGCCATCGCTGCGGTTTCCCTTTGTTTCCACTCCTGCCTTTCCCAGTGCAGCAAGAAAATATTTCACATTAAGGGGAATGTTCACAATGCAGAGTTCGAGCAGTGGAACAGCCCTGCTGCTGTACCCAGGTTGGTTTTGTGCGCTGGGGGCACGATGCAGGCAGAGTCATGGTGCAGCTCTCGTGCCTTGGTCCCACGTACATCAGCTCTGCTCCCACCCCACACCTCCCACCCCACAACCGACCCATTCCTCATCCACCTTCCCTCAGCTCCACCAGTTATTCTGTGTTAAATAAACAGGGAGACCCAGCCACTTGAGTGTTACTGTGAGCCACCGGTTCAGCCGGGTTCTTTATTATTATTAATGATGAGATACTGGGGCTGGGCTGCTAATGAGTCTAAGCTCCCTCCTGTGTGTTTATTTTTCTTCCCCCTTCAAACTGTCATTTCAGAGTAAATTACTTCTCCCTGCATCTTTGTCAGGCAACACTGTACTGCTGCCTCCCCCCATCTCACCCTCTGCTCTAATTTCAGGCTTATTCAGTTTCTCTCAATGCAGTTTACTAAGCAAAGTACAGCATATCCTCCCATCTGTCTTACTTAAGTGGCACGATGCGCCTCAACAGCAGATAGAGACATCATTTTTATTACGCTGAGTTCTGGTTCTTGTTTTTTTTCTCTGAATTATTTACTAAGCCATTACCAGAAAAGGGGGGAGAGGTGTGAGGTTAGAGGAGGAGAAAAAAAGAAGCAGTTTGAGAGGGGCAGGAGGGGGCGGTGGGGGAAGCAAACAATTTTTCAAGCATCACTCAAAAACTGCTGCGATTTTCTCGCCTTTGTTCCATCTCGTGCTAAACATGTTTGTGTCAGGCAAACAACCCACGTTAGATGGAATTTCACACCATCCGAGGCATCAGTGTCTCCAGCCTTAATGTGTATTATGTTCAAACATGCAACGTAATCCATCAAAAACCCCTGCAGACCTCGCGTTTTTCCTCCAGATTTATCCACATGCAGCCTCCCTCCCTCCCTCCCTCCCTCTCTCTCGGCGCTCACGTAGCCGGCCTTCTGTCTGTGGGTTTTGTTATTTATTTGGAAACATCTGAGCAGATTCACAGTCAGTGTGTGCTGTCGCAGCTCTGCTGGCTCCGTGCCTGAGGATTTATCCCAGCAGAGGGGACTCACTGGCTGCTGGCTGCGGGATTAACTCGGGGTTGAACTCGGGCTCTGTTCCGAGCGCAGCCAACCTGCCCAACCTGCTCACATCAGAGCTTCTCCAGCAGGTCAGAAAGCCAAGCTGCCACTGCCTGCCTGCAGCCCAGACTTGTGCAGAGTAACATTGCATTGCTTGGAGGACAGTACTGAGATGGAGCCTGAGGTTTGGAGTGGTGAGCAGAAGCAGTATCCTGGAGGAGCATGTCCCAAAAACTGCTGTGCCCAACCCTCCACGGGAGCAGAGCCTTCTGCTCAAGTTGCAGAAGTTAATGTGCACAAATGCAAAAGCAATAAAATCAAAACTGGCCCAGCAGGCAGGAAGAGCTATATTGGATATGTGGGTTGTGGGTGCCCCATTTCTGGAGGCATTCAAGGCCAGGCTGGATGTGGCTCTGGGCAACCTGGTCTGGTGTTTGGTGACCCTGCACATAGCAGGGGGTTGGAACTGGATGAGCATTGTGGTCCTTTTTCAATCCAGGCCGTTCTGTGATTCTATGATTATGATTCTATGGATTTGAAACTAGAGAAAAGTTAACCCCCCAAAAAAGAATGCTGAGATAAGTGCCATTAGATTAACAGGGAGATATTTACATCAGTTCAGCATGGTGAACTATTGAGATACAATTCACAGAGCAGTGCTGTGGTGACCAACAAACCTGTCCCTGCTGATAAGGCTCTGCTCTCATGGCGATCTTCAGTGAATTTTGAACATTCAGAGGGGGTCTGTCTGGGGTTTCCTGATAGAAACAGTAGGAAATACTGTGGCATGTTTAAGTCTGCTTTTCATTGGAGACCTCGTGTGTCCCTCCAGGCTTGTTTGCTTTCAGCCCTGTCCCCCACCTCTGTTCATGTTTTCCATGGTGCCCATCTCCATTTATCACCATGCAGTGCTCAGCGCCTTGCTGCGTAAGCACAGCGATTCTACACATCACAAAACGAGCCCAGCAACATTGGAAGCAGAACAGAAATTTGGAGTTTCTGATTGCAAAGTGTTTAGAAACGCAGGGAAGAACAACTCCCCCTCTCACCTCGTCCAAACCCAAGCTGCCAAACAACTGGTGTGTGCTGCAGGGAACGGTGGCATGTTGCACACCTCTCCCAGATGTAGTAATACTGATGGCTGTTGTCTGCTTTGCACCAGGCGTGCTTCTGGAACCTCTTGGTGCAGAGGGCAGGGGCACAGCACCGTGCAGTGACACCAGCACGACCCCAATGGAACAGCAGAAGTGTCTGCACACTGAAACCATCCGAACTGGGCTGAGCTTCCCAGAGGAAACCACGCAGCCCACCGCTCACACGGTGCATGGATGCATGCTCATGCACTCAGTTGCTCTCCAGACACCAGCAGCAGTTTGCATAAGCCCCCATCCGTCTCTCGGCACGGCTGCTGGGTGCTGTGATGGGGAGGGAGCAGACGGGCGGTTTGTTGGTGTGAAGGAGCTCAGTGCTCACAGCCCAGCTGTCTCCTTACATTCTTTCCTTGCATCCTGGCAGCAGTTCCTTCACACCTCTGCCATGCTCTGCGCAAGGAGCTGCGCTCAGCCCACGGCCCAGGGGATCGCGTGGGGCTGGGACCTGTGCTACGCTGCAGTCTTCGAGCTTAAAAACTCCCAATTACAAATTTTAATGGGCATAATTTAGGAAAATATGGTCCGTTCCATCTGCTTTGCATTAACTTGAGTGACTATTTAAAAATACAGGTTGAAATATTACAGCTCCTCGTAATTTCTCCGCATGACTAGCTCCTAATGGATGGAGAGGAAATTATGAATAAGGCTTTTTATCAATTTTCACAGGCACGCTTTGCCATAATCCTTTTATTTCTTTGGGAGCCGTGTTTGTTTATCGTCATTTTATTTGTTTAATAATTTCCCTCTTTTTCTTAATCTTGCCCCTAATTACTTTGTATTCTACAAATATTTGAACGAATTTCATTCCTTATAAATATTATTATGTTTAATGTTTTTAAAAGCTGTGCTTTTCCCAGTGAGTTTCAGCTCAGTGTAAGGCTGGTGGCCCAGCAGTGCTGTTGTTTCAGGCTCACCTGACATCCCAGCTCCACGATAGCAGATAATTTTTTCTCATTAACCCCCAGTGCATTGCTTCTCCTTGACCTGCGTTGACCAGAGAGGCTGTGGATGCCCCGTCCATCCCATCCCATCCCATCCCATCCCATCCCATCCCATCCCATTCCATCCCATCCCATCTCATCGTGTTCAAGGTCTGGTTGGATGGGGCCCTGGGCAGCTTGGTGTGCTATGAAATGTGGAGGTTGGTGGCCCTGCATGTGGCAGGGGGTTGGAGCTTCGTGATCCTTGAGGTCCCTTCCAGCCCTGGCCATTCTGTGATTCTGTGATAGATCAACTGGCCATTACTTTCTTAGCCACGTCCTCTGAATGGAACTGATAATGATGATACCATTTGACATAGTACTTGAATACAGCTCTGGTTAGCATCACAGGTTTCCCAAAAAAAACCCACTAAACCCACCAATAGTTATAATGAAGAAAAATGGCATGGGAGCAGTGACTCAGGCATGAGATGTAAGCTTCCCTAATTTACTGCTTGTTTGTTTTTCCAAACTGCAGGTGCTTAAAGTTGCTGTTACCGATTAATCATGACAGCTTACAGGATTTATGGAATCTGCATGGTAATCGGTGCGGAGCCATGCCTGCAGGTGGGTCCAAATTGCTGCAGTTGAGCTGTAATGGAATGGAGGGTGAATGGGGTCACTGAGGGTGAAGCTGGTGGGATATTCCTTGTGGAGTGGGTGAGCTGAGTAACCCAGATTGGGAAAAGTTCTGCTTGTGGAGCAGATCCTTAGGTGACCGCTGGCTCTGGAAAGCAGTGGAAGAGGCAGGTGTGAGCAGGCTGAAGGAAAGCCCTGCAGTGACTTTGCTGGGCTGGAGCCTTTGTGCGCTCCGTGTTTGTGGATGATGGTCTTTGATTTACTTCAGATAGATGCCTGCAGGAGGTCTGCAGTTCTGCTTCCCTGACCTTCCCAGGAGTGTTGTCTGCCTTGCGGAAAGGAGCTGAGAAGTGCTATAGCTTTTACTGTAGGCTGCCCTCAAACGTCTGCATGAAAAGCAGTAATGTAGAACCTGAAACAAATCAGAGGGATGTTACCTCTCCAGGTGGCAGAAGGTGGTTAAATGCTGTGTGTGTGAATCCAGAGGGCTCTCTCTTCTCCCACTGATGCTGTAGACCCATGGCAAACAGGAAGGATGAGGTGCCAGCTTGTCCCCTCCTAGCTGCCTGCTGTGTGCTGTGCCCCCAGGCTTGGGGATCTCAGCCCACTGCTCTGATTGATCACCCCATAAACTACACTGCGCATCAGAGGGGTTCCTGGGCTGTTTCAGTGCTGCCTCAGGGGAGCATCCATCAATATTGCCATAGTGCTGGCATTGCGTGGGTGACAAAGATGTTCAGAGATCATGATGCTGTATTAAATGCAACTGTCTGCTGTAATACATCATCGGACTGACTTTGAAAAGCTGGCTCTGCACAGATAGGTGGGAAGGAGAGAAGAGCCTGGAATACAAAAGCAGGTCTGGTAGACGTCGTTCTGCTGGAGGATGACGTTCTGCTGTAAGGATTACACCTCGGTAGGATGGGTCACCTCACCTTTAGGGTTAAGGAAGCACACAGCATCCTTGCAACGTTACACATGGCCACCAAAACTGGGGCTCTCTCTCAGTGTATTTAAACCATTGCAATGTTATACAACGAAGGTCCTGTCCCTGGATGAGGGCTCCTGCCCAAAGCTCACTAGAGCAGGGTTGGAGAACACTTCTGTGCAGGCACTGAGAAATTCTCATATTCTCTTCTTTTTTTTTCCTTTCATTTTGCCACTGCATTAGAAAATGTGTGGCTATGCAAATATTTCACAAGCAGTTTGGGATCTCTTAGGATGAATGATGCTTTGTAAAATACGATTATCTTTTGTAATACATCACCTACTTGTACTGCAGCATAATTTTCAACTTCCCTCAGTTTCTCTGTACCGGCAAATAAGCAGAATACTGAGTAGGGAAAGATAAGTTTCATTAGCAGCAACTTTGACACTGCATATATATCTTACATTGCTGCTCTAAAGATGAAATCAATAGCTGCGTTTACATGAGGGCTCCGACATTTCTGAAAAATCCCACATACAATTTTTATTGAAGATGAATGCTTCTGAGAATTGGAAAGCTACTGTTTGCATGAGTGATCTTCCAGATTTGCTACATATTACTCATAAGTCTGGAGGAAGAAAAAAAAAAAGTTGTTTAACTCCTCTTCTACGAAAACACGGGTGTTAGATTAGCAAAAGAAGGCAAACAGAACAGATGAAAGCTATTAGAGCTGGCTTTGGTTGTGCTGATTTCATCCTTTGAATATTTCCAGTCTGCTAACGTAGGGAATCCATCCATTTCTGACCTTAACCTTTCCACAATGCTTGTTATTTTGGGTGGGGAGAAGGAGAATATTCAAAAAGCTAATAATATCAAAGGGAAGAAATGAGGTCTGTCGTGCACGTTGTGTGCTCCAAAGCAGAGCTGCTTGGCGCTGGTTCCTGATGGAGGAATGGTCTTGTGGGTGCAGAATGTAGAGGCACTGAGATATCAGACCTGGCTCCTAGCTGCTGCAGCGTGGGGTGAGGAAGGCACTTAGCAGAGCTGCAGGTCCTCGAGCATCCATCACCCAAAGCTGTGTGCGGTCATTTAAAGCACCCATGCAGAATGGCACCAATGGTAGTGGTAAGAGTGAGTGCCAGCACAAGGTCGAGGCAAGGGAATTTTGTAGCATAATTTGTTTTCAGGTGTATTTGATGCTAGGCAGCCATTAAATCTCCAACTCCCCGTAGAGGAGGCGGTGACGTGGCCAGTGAAGCAGAAGGCCAGGTTAAAGAAGTTGGCTTCTGATTCCAGATGTGTGCTCTGTGGACAGGTTCAGATCTGCTGACCCAGCTGCATAAGGAGAAACCTCTTTTTGTTAAGGCCACGCTGTCAGGTTCTTGTTTCATATGTTTCTGTTGCTTGAAACGACTCATTTTATCACTTGCATAAATACTGTAGCGGCTATCAAAGACCTTGAGGCCTTTATTCCTATATATACTATTGCCAGTAAATGTCATCATTTCTCACACTGTGTGGATGCTGAAGTATGTGATATTCCCATGTTTTTTTCCAAAGGCAGGGTAAGAAAAAGATGACAAAACGCTACTAAATGAAAGCTCTGCCAAGTTTGTGCTTGTTGCTTTCCGAATGTGTGCTGGTAAAAATCATCTGAATTGAGGACATTAATTCTCAAACTCCTATTTTGGAGCAGGGGAAGGAGGAGGAAAACACAGCTGGTCTTCCTTTACCCTGAGAACCACTAAGCCCAGCAGCCCACAGACACATTGTGCCTGCACAGAAAACATCATATTTCATAGCATTTAACATCCAATTTTAGTACTGACTTAGGATGAAATAGTTCAGTTTGATGGCATTTCGTAAGGGGAAAAAAAGAGTCCAGGCATGGAAGATATCCCGAAGTACCTGCTCAGATCAAGTGGCCTAATATTAGCACAGTAAATGTATAGGATTAATGGCACTTCTTTGAGGATCCCTGCCCTGTGCCAAGGGCTTTGGGTGGTGTAAAGCAGTGAAAACCACAAAGGGCTGCAAGAAGGAAGCATTAAATGCAGCAAAGCACTGCAGGGCTGTGGGATCTGCTCCAGTGAGGGATGGAACCTGGGACTGCTGGTGCTGACTTGGTTCAGCTCCAATGCTCACGACTGGAAAATGCGAATTGGCTTTGCAAGGATCCGTGTAAGGGAAGGCTACTTTCCTGACTAATGGTCTGTGATGCCCACCAAAAAACATATTTGTCATCCAGGTCATTTATTGCACTTACGCAGGTCATTTCTCAATTACAGAGAACAGGAGATCCATCTCGTTGGGATAAATGTGGAGGAAAAGCCTGGGAAGCTGTCTGTCCTGCTGACAGGACAGGAAGGCATGGCACGTTGTGTATTTGCACTGCAAAGCGACGGATGTCAATCTAAGAGGTGTTGGTGGTGTTTTTATCCACGTTTCTCAATGTCTCAGAGTAGACCTGGTAGCCATGGGTGATAATAAGGAAACATTACTGGTGTAACTGCAGTTCGCTGTGCTCCAGCCTGCTATTAGGCTCACTGAGCCCCAGTCAGTTACGGCCTTTGCTCCCTTTCTTTAACCACATCTGCCGAATTAAATTCCCTACACTGACAGTGATGCTTTCAAAAGCTCCGAATCAATTCTTCAATCACTCCACATTCTTAGCTGTGATTAAAAACATGTGTCCCCTAATTAAGCTAACGAGAAATTGTTAATTGGCACAAAGCCCCCCTCTGATTATGCTCGTTAATGTCACTTTGACAGGAGAAGGAATATAAATGAAGGGCAGACGGTGTTACCAGAATTCTGAATTGGACTTGGGATGAAGGCTTTGTGTGCACAGCCATGCCCATCAATCTGGGGACAAGGAAGGAGGAGGACAGGGGCTGCCCTTGGCTGGGGAAGGTCAGCAGAGCTGTGCATGAGAATGCTGAGTGTGGTCCCTCCCTGTGTTTCTCATCACAACATCACGTCTGACTGTCAGCCCTGCTCCTGCTTTGCTCTGCCAGCACACCTGCTGCAAGCTGATGCTCGTTCGTGCTGGGTCATCACTGCTCTAAGGAAGGTTTTTTGCATGACGGAAGAGGAACCCCACTTTTGAGTCGCATTCAGGTATAAGCTAGTCCTTGTCACTACCCCAGGGCTTCTGGTAGAGAAAGTGCCTGCCCATGTACATGTGCAAAAGATAAACTTCAAAAGCATAAGTCTTGAAAGGCAAGTGGAACAGCTGAGGGTTGTGTCCCTGTTTTCCCAGCTACTGGTCATGCCACAGAGGAACCTTAGGGGCAGTGTTCTTTCCTCTTCTCCTCTGGTCCAGACAAGGCAGCAGCAGCAGCACACAGCGCTTGGTTTTAAGTGATACGTTCCTTCATGGAAATGGTTTTAAGTTGAGGGAGGGAGGATTTAGGTTGGATGCCAGGAGGAAGCTCTTTGCTCTGAGAGTGGTGAAGTGCTGGAACAGCTGCCCAGAGAGGCTGTGGATGCCCCGTCCATCCCTGGAGGTGTTCAAGGCCAGGTTGGATGGGGCCCTGGGCAGCCTGGGCTGCTATGAAATGTGGAGGTTGGTGGCCCTGCCTGTGACAGGGGGGTTGTAGCTTCATGATTCTTGAGGTCCCTTCCAGCCCAGGCCGCTCTGTGATTCATACAAGAGCCGAAGTCCCAATTTCCTAATTCTTGTTGGATCCCAGAGGGACGTTCAGAGAGTTTAATCATGATGTTTGGATGCAGTGCTTGTCTTCTCTTGGTGGCTGAAGGAATCCCAGTCCTGGCACAGCACTCACTGCCATATGCAGCCGCGCCAGGGATATTTTCCTTCATCATTTTTCTTCTCTGTGTGTTCATTTGAGTTATTCCTGTTCCAAGCTCGTGTTCTGTCCAACACAGTACCCAGGCAGTAGCAGCAGTAGTTGCCTCTGCTAAATGAATGTTTGCTGATAATGCCTTCCCGTCTGGATGCTCATCGTATTTGCTAAGCTTATTTGTCATTTCTTCCATCCCATTTCCATTATAACATAAATAACAGACGGATTGGAGCCCACACTGTCCTGCAAAT